CACGAATGGAGGGCGGTTCCTTTGCAAAATGCGGCTCTCGCCTCAGCGCCGCGCAGATTCGTTAAGAGCTTACAGCTCTTTCACATGTTATCATGGTAAGCGTCCGACCAGGTGTGTTTTGGCACGATGTCGGACTGTCAGAACGCAATACTTACGTTGATTAGCGGTGTTGAAGTCCCAGGACTGGTGTTTTGGCACGATTCAGGATCGTCGAGGCGCAACAGTAACTGTGGTTCGCGGCGTTGAAGTCCCAGGAATGGTGTTCTGGCAGACTGCAGGATTTTCAAACGGTTCTCTTCCAACGGGGCATTTCCCTTTGTGAGAAAGAGCCTTTGCTGGTGCCTATGAGGAGGGAACTCAGAGGGAGGGGCTATCGCAACATCGCTGGCGAGTTTTGGGTTTGCACTGGTCCTCCTCCTCCTCCTCCTCCTCCTCCTCCTCCCCTCCTCCTCCTGCTCGCTCCTCCTCTCCTCCCCTCCTCCTGCTCCCCTCCTCCCCTCCTCCTCTCCTTCTCTCCTTCCTCCTCCTTTCTTCTCTCCTCCTCTCCTCTCCTCTCTCCTCTCCTCCTCCTCCTCCTCCTCCTCCTTCTCCTCCTCCTCCTCTCCTCCTCTCCCCTCTCTCTCCCTCCTCCTCCTCTCTTCCTCCTCTCCTCTCCTCCTCCTCCTCCTTCATCCCTCCTCCTCTCCTCCTCTCCGCTCCTCCCCTCCTCCTCCTGCTCGCTCCTGCTCGCTCCTCCTCCTCCTCCTCCTCCTCCTCCTCCTCCTCCTCCTCGCTCCTCCCCTCCCCCTCCCCGTGCGCTCCCGGCTCCGAGGCTGGCCTCCAGGGCGCCCTGCAGGCCCCCGGGGGAGTCCACGCAGCTGCGGAGGTAGACGCTTTTGCCCGGAGCCTCGTTCCTGCGCGTGCGCGCTCGCCGCAGCGGCAACGACGACCGCGACGGCCGACGGCGCGTCGGAGGACGGCGGCGGCGACGACGACGACGACGACGACGACGAACGACGACGACGACGACGCTCTGCTGGGGTGCTCTCTAGGCGGAGGTGCGGAGGGAACCCAGGCGTGGCGACGAGCAGCCTTCTTGGAGACCGAGGGGGGCCCCGTGGCGTCGAAACACCTCGGCCCTGGATCCTCGCTCCTCGAGCCTCGGTCGCTGAACGACGACGACGACGGCGGCGACGGCGGGCGGCCGCGGAGCGGTGGCCCCGCGGGGATCCGCGACGCGGGCGGGGCTGGCCCACAGGGCGACGGCGACGGCGCCAGGCGCGCCGCGGCAGCTCGCCAGCGCTCGGACGTCCACTTCCCGCGCATTTTTCGATTTCGTGCGTGTTTTTTGTTTGCTCGATGGTCCAGGATGGTCCTCGATGGTTCTCGCCGAGAAAAGATGCACACGTCCGAGCGATGCCAAGGCAACGGTATGGAGGGCGAGCTTGCCCCTCCTCCCGGTGCTCACGGCGGCGCCGGCTCCGGTCGCGCCGCGGTGATGGCATGGAGGCGGAAATCCTTGCCCTGATGCATAACTTCTCCCTGTCGCACCCCGAGGACAGTTTTTCAGGCCGGGCCGAACGTTTCGCCTGAGACCTGCTTATGAGTCTGAAGCTTAAGAATTGGCCACAGTTTCGCAGACGGAGGGCGGGTGGTCTTCAACATGTGGCTCTCGCCTTAGCGCCGCGCACATTCATTGCAATCGCTTTACGGATGAAGGCGGATGGTTTTCAGACTGTGGCACTCGCCTTAGCGCCGCGCACATTCGTTTTAAACATTTGCAATCGTTTCAAGGATGAAGGCGGATGGTTTTCAACATGCGAATCTCGCCTTAGCGCCGCGCACATTCGTTTATACCATGTGCAAACATTTCGCGGATTCCCATGATCAGCGTGCTAAAAATTGCGTTTTGGAAAAATCCAGGGCTATGACGGCGCAGCGGTGACGTTGATTCGCTGTGTGAAGTCCCAGGAATGGCGTTCTGGCACAATTCAGGATTGTCAATACGCAACAATCAGGTTGATCCGTGGCGTTGGAATAAACAAAACCAACACACGCACAAACTCGAATGCACCACGAATTAGGTTAAAAGTGCCCGCGACGCGGCCGTGAACCTCGTCGCAGTCGTCGCCGGCGCGCAGCCCATCGGCAGCAAGTCGATGTCGGCCGCGGCGAAATTCATCGTGCGCTCCAGGCCGGCCCACCGCCGAGGGACGAGTCTGGGAGCCACCCGCTTGTCACGGGGGCACGCCGCGGCATGCGTGGCGACGGTGGCTGCTACTGCTGTACCTACTGCCGCTGCTGCTACTGCGGCTGATACTGATGAAACACAGGCAGGACACAACTGAAGGGGCCCCAGGACACACAAAGAAACACACACAAATAAACAGATTCCCCATGTTTCCCCATATTTTTGGGTTTTTTGTCTTCCCCCCCACTTCCCATATTTTTGCATATTTTCCTGGGAGTCGACGATTCAAATTGTGTCTGTGTGTCTCTTCCCCTCCTGAGCAGCACACTCTTGAGTCAGAGGGCGCCCGCGGGCCGAAGCACGGGCAGGCGCGATGGTCGGACGACGGGCGCGGCATGCGCCAGAAGCGAATTTGGGGGCACGGCGGGACGCGGGGAGAGCAGCGAGGAGGAGGAGGAGGAGGAGGAGGAGGAGGAGGAGGAGGAGGAGGAGCAGGAGCAGGAGCTGGAGAAGGAGCAGGAGGAGGAGGAGGAGGAGGAGGAGGAGCAGGAGCAGGAGCAGGAGCGGAGGAGGAGGAGGAGGAGGAGGGGAGGAGGAGGAGGAGGAGGAGGAGGAGGAGGAGGAGGAGGAGGAGGAGGAGGAGCAGAGGAGGAGGAGGAGAAGCCAAAGCCGCTCAGGTCGTGCAGACCGGCGCGGGCGAGCCACGACATAACACACACACACACATTCTCCACAACAGAGGATCACCATAATGCAGTTACCGAATTTCTGGCGAGCCGCCCGCCAAGCACCCGCGCCCCAGTTGCCGCCGGCGCGCAGCACAGGGCGAGCATGCCGATGTCCGCCGCGGAGGAGGTAACCGTGCGCTCCACACATGCCCGCCGCCGAGGGACGAGTGGGGGAGGAGCCCAGTTGTCGCGGAGGCACGCCGCGGCATGCGCGCAGATGTGTTCCAGGGCGAGATGCGTGCGTTTCTCTGGCGAGCCACGCACATACCTCCAGGGCCACCGTGGGCACGTCGATGCAGTAGCTGCCAGTGCTATCGGTGCTGCTGCTTCTGAGACTCTTTGTGCTGCTGGTGCACGCTGCTGTGGGTCCTAAGATTCCCGCTGCCACTGCCGCAGCGTCTCTCACTGACACAGCTGTTTCCACGACAAATGCTACTGCTACGGCTACGGCTGCTCCCACCGTTGGTAATACTACTGCTGCTACGGCGTCTGCTGCTGCTGCTGCTGCTTTCCGTGCTACTGTTGCGACTTGCTTCTGGTACTGTTCCTGCCACAGCAACGTATACTCCCACTTCCACTGCTAATTATACTGCCACTGTTTCAGAGACTGCTGCTGCTGCTGCAACGAATGCTGATTCTGACACCTGCTGCTACCAATTAAGAGTTAGTCACGCTGGCCACCTCTAAGGCGAGAACGCAAATCCCAGTCAAGACTGTGGCCATCGCTACGGCGAAAGATCCGCTCCTAGTTATGAATGTGGCCGCCCGTACGGCGAGTGCCGCTCCTAATCAGGTGCAGTGTCTGGTGCTACGGCGAGCGGACCACGCCGAGTCAAGATTGTCAACTCTATGCCCTTGCTTTTCACAAGCCGCGGAAGTGGGGCGGAAATGGCGACACCTACCATCGGCTGGAGCCCTGAGGAGTTCGGGATAATTAATTGAGAATCCCCGAAGTCAACTCACGGTTTGAAGACAGTCTTGTAGGTTCTAGGTGGTGAGTGGGGAGAGGAGGGCGAAGACGAGCAAAATAAGGGAGCAGAAAGGAGGAGCAGGAGGAGGAGAAGGAGAAAGAGGAGGGAAAATATAGGAGGAGGAAGAGGACGAGGAGGAGGAGGAAGAGGAGGAGGAGGAGGAAGAGGAGGAGGAGGAAGAGGAGGAGGAAGAGGAGGAGGAGGAAGAGGAGGAGGAGGAAGAGGAGGAGGAGGAAGAGGAGGGAGCAACAACGCAACACTCAGGCCACCGACTCCTGGGCACGCCTATCTCGGTGTATGACGTTGGCCGACGCAGATGTCGGACGCACCTCTGCCTAAAAATACTTCTTACAATAACTATCACTCTAACTACTGCTACGATGCTTCTGTTGCAGCTGACTGCCGACTCCCACATACTTTTGTATTACCAGTGCTACTCTTAGTTCTGATGATCTTTCTTCCTCACCCCCTGTTCTTCCTCCTATTCCTCGCCTCCCACGGGCTATCGATGATCCTCGGTCTCTTACCCCTGACTGCTCATTCTGTGGACGTCTCACAATAACGTGGTCTCCTTACTCTCTTTCCTCCTCCTCCTCCTCCTCCTCCTCCTCCTCCTCCTCCCTCCTCTCCTCTCCTCCTCCTCCTCCTCTCCTCCTCCTCCCCCTCCCCCTCCCCTCCTCCTCCTCTCCTCCTCCTCCCTCCTCCTCCTCCTCCCTCCTCCGCCTCCCTCCCTTCCTCCTTTTCCTCCTCTCCTCTTGTTCCTGCTCCTCCTCCTCCTCCTCCCTCCTCCTCATCCTCCTTCTTCTCCTCCTCCTCCTCCTCTCCTCTTTCTCCTCCTCCTGCTCCTCCTCCTCCTCCTCGTTTTCAACCTCCTCCACCTCCTCCTCCAGTTCTTCCTTCTCCTCATCCTTCTCCTCCTCCTTCTCCCTTGGGGTGGCAATGCTTGTATGGGGGGCGTCGAACGCGGTGTCCGACGTTTGCTCTTCCGACCCCGCTTACCCTTTGTTTCTCTTCTCCTCCTCCTCCTCATTAGGGCCTTCCTCTTCCTTCTGCCTCGCTTTCTTCCTCCTCCTTCTCGCCTCTCTCCTCTTCCTCGTCGTCGTCCTTCCTCTCCTGGGTGGAAGTGACTTTTTCGGGAGATGCGGAACGCGGTGTCCGACTTTGGCTCGGTAGGTCTAGTGCGGCAGAATCCGCCGGAGCCTTCGCTCGCAAACGGCGGATCCGCGGGGCACCGCGGGGGAGGACGGGGGCGTTACAAGGAACACGAGAAGAGGAAGAAGGAAGCGGGAGAAGAAGGGCGATGACGATGACGATGACCATCACGATGACGATGCTGCTGATGGTGATGATGATGATGCTGATGATGATGATGATGATGGTGATGGTGATGATGATGACGATGCTACTGATGATGATGACGACGATGATGATGCTGGTGATGATGATGACCATGCTATTGATGATGACGACGACGACGATGATGATGATGATGGTGATGATGCTGATGATGATTACGATGATGGTGATGATGCTGGTGATGATGATTGATGATCGTGGTAATGGTGGTGCGTGCGATGACGATGATGATTATGATGCTGACGATGACGCTGGTGATAATACTGGCGATATTAAAGATTATGGTGCTAATAATGATGATGATGCGAATGATTACGATTATGATGATGGTGAAGACGATGGAGATGATGATGATGATGATGATGATGATGATGATGATGATGATGATGATGATGATGACGATGCTGTTCATGACGATGGCGATGTTGATGATAATGGTGATGGTGATGACGATGATGGTACTGATGATGATAATGTTTGCAATGATGATGCTTACGATAATGAAGATGATGGTGCTGGTGATGGTGATTGTGATGGTGATGGTGACAATGATGATGATGCTGCTGATGAGTATGACGATGCTGTTTCTGATGGCGATGACGATGCCAATGGTAAAGATGATGATGATGATGGTGGGGTTGATGATGATGATGATGACGAAGATGATGACGATAAGGATGACAATGACTATGGTGACGATTGTGATGATGGTGATGATGATGACGATTAGGACGATGCCGATTACCATGCCGATGGTGATTGTGATGATGGTGACGATGATGACGACGATGATGGTGATGATGATGATGATGGTGATGGTGATGGTGATGATGATGGTGATTATGATGACGACGACGGACATGACGATAACGATGACGATGACGATTGTGATTATGATGCTGATGCGGATGATGATAATGGTGATGGTGATGATGACGACGATGATGATGATGATGATGATGATGATGATGCGGATGATGATAATGATGGTGATGCTGATGACGACGATGATGATGATGATGACGATGATGATGATGATGATGATGATGATGATGCTGATCATGACGATGACGATGGCGATGGCGATGGCGATGGCGATGGCGATTCTGATGATGCTGATGATGATGATGATGATGATGATGGTGATGATGATGATGATGATGATGATGATGATGCTGATGATGATCATGATGATGAGCAGGAGGAGGGGGAGGAGGAGGAGGAGGAGGAGGAGGAGGAGGAGGAGGAGAAGGAGGAGGGAGACGGGAGGAAGGAGAGGAGGAGGGGGAGGAGAGAAAGAGGAGGAAGCGGAGGAGGAGGAAGAGGAGGAGGAGGAGGAGGAGGAGGAGGAGGAGGAGGATGAGAGGCATCGCCGCCGGGGCCGCTGTTTCAGCCGCCGCCTCAAGAGCGAAGATCTGGCCCCTCGCCGTCCCTGCCCCCGCGCGAGAGCCGCTGCCCCTTGGACCTGGGCGGCCGCAGCTTCCTGGTCGGAGGCGGGAACGGCTGGCGCACGCCGTTGGCGAAGACGACTGGGCGGAATCCGTCGGGCACGGACTCGTGCATCACTGGGCTGTTCCTATAGCGCCGCACGTTCTCCCGCAGCCCCTGCTCGAAGCGGCTCCGCTCCACCACGCAGACCTCCTGGAGCCCCTTTTCTCAATTCCCGCGGTGATGGCCGTTACCGACCCCGCTTCCCCCCCTGATAACGTCACGTTTCGCGCTGGCGCCGTCTGGGAGGACCACTTAATAGCTAAGGACAGGACAGCTAGGACTATCATGCAAGCAAGGATCTGCCAGGGATAGCTAACCACAGCGTAGGGGATAATTGAGAGGAGCCAAGCGTAGAGGACGTGGCGCCTTTGCGCGCCGCAGTGCGCCCGCGGAGGGACCTGCGGGATACATCAGCATGGCCGCGTACACCACAATACCTGCGTGCACCACCGCACCTGTGAACACTAGTGCTTGCGCGCACCAGCGGGCTGGTGTTAACAACACTGCCTGTGTACACCACGCTGCCTCTGGACACAACAATGCTCGTGTGCACCACGGTGCTGGTCTACACCACAACGCCTGTGTACATCACAAGGCTTGTTTGCACACTATTGCATGTGTACACCGCAGTGCCTTGTGCACGAGTGCCTATGTGCACCACGTTTCCTGCATACACCACACTACCTGTGTACACCACAGCGCCTATGTACACAAGAATGACCGCGTGCGCATCCATACCTCTGTGCACTACAGCTGCTTTTGCAGCAGTTCCATATGTGTGTGCACCATAGCATTGTGTTCACCACACTGCCTGTGTACACCGCAGCAGCCGTGTGCACCACAGCCCCTGTGCACCACAGTGGCTTGCACACCACATCGCCTGTGTGCATCACGGAGCCTGTACAGCACCGTGGCTGTGTACACTACAAAGCCCGTGTAAACCTTCAGGGTCCCAACGGGGCCAAAATCCATGAAATCGTAGAGAATCGGACCGTATCACATTCACTGTGATAAGTCTTTGCGACTCGTGAATTCCTAGCCCAATGCGTGTGAATCCCACACATCCTATGTGCAGTTCAGCGTCTGGGTACACAAAGTTGCTTGTGTCCATCACAAATGCTGCAGACCACAGCGCCTGTGTACACAGATGCGACTGTGTACACCGAACAACAATGTCTGTAGACCACAGTGATTGTGAACACTACCATGCCTGTGTACACCACCGACGCACAGTGCCTGTATACACCACAGTAGCCGTGTGCACCAAAGCGCTGGTATTCACAACAACGCCCACGTGCACCAAGGATGCTGCTGCAACGCAAATTGTGCACCACAACACCACAGCGCTTGTTGAAACCCCAATGCCTATGTCCTGTGTGCGCACTGCCTGTGTGCACTTCCAGAGGCCTTCGGAAGCCTCCGGACGACGCTGGTCGTCGTCGCCGTTGTCGTGGTCGTCCCAGTCCACTCCCAGCCAGGACGTTACGGAGCCCCTCTTCCCCCCCGCGGGAGCAAAATGTGGCCCGTGCCACCCCTGGTGACGGCCGTGATCGCAGGAGGATCAGAAAAAAGCGCTCCTTGCACCAGGAGAACCACCAGTGCGAGAAGCCGTGGAACGCGTCCTGGAATCGGGCGGCGTCCAGCAGGCTGACGAAGTTGACGTAGGCGTACCCCTGGTTGTCGCCTGTGGTGAAGTCCCTGGGCAGAAACAGGAAATCGACCTTATCGCCGAACCCGTGGTTCCCGATTATCGGGCTGGGCGAAAGGGGGGGATAGCAAAAGGGGGGTTGAGAATCAGCTCACGTAGCTGATTCTCCCGGCGCCTCCCGGGGCCGGGAGGCGCCCATGTATCGAGGCATGGGCCCGGCGGCGGGGCCGGAACCAGCTGCATGCCACAGATTTCGTACCCCCCCTTGCCCAATCCCCCCCTTTCGCCCCGCCCGCGATGAGGTTCTCCAGCATGTCCCGCGTGTAGCACCTCGTAGGGGGGCAAATGCGAACCCTACCCCTACCCCCCACGATTTCTGAGGGGGAGGGTGGGGTTCACTTCATTCGGGAGGTCACGAGCGAAGTGAACCCCACCCTCCCCCTCAAAAATCGTGGGGGGTAGGGGTAGGGTTCGCATGTGGCCCCCTACCTCGGCACATTCTGCATCATGAGGGTCGTGGGCTCCTGCCGCTCCTCCAGCTCCGCAGGCTCCCGCGGCTCAAGCCGCGCGGCGGCCTGCGCCCGCGCGGGGGCCGCGAGCCGGGCCTCCGCGCGGTCCGCGGAGGCCGGCGGCGGCTGCGGCACTGGCCCCGGCAGCTGCAGCACGGAGACCTCTAAAGGGGCCCCAGGACACACTCATAAGTACACACAAATAAGATGTGTCCCCACATTTCCGCATATCTTTAGGGTTTTCGTCCTCCCCCCCACTTCCCATATTCTCCCGTATCTTCTGGGGATCGAGGATTCGTTGTATCTGTGTTTTTTTTTGTCCCTCCTGAACCTCCCTAGAGGCCCGGGCGACGGGGTCTGGGACGTGGACGTAGCTGGGGCCCAGCGACGGAAGCGAAGCGTCTCGCCCATCCTCCGCGACGGCTGGAGCGTGCTGATCTGAGTCTGGTGCACTGCCGCCAAGGGCGCCGCATGCACCATACAGGGCGATGTTAGCCTCGAGTCCCTGAGCGACTGGGCTCCACGAGACCACGCAGGACTCCTTCAGCCACGCGTGCCACCACCTGTTAAAACCCTGGAAGGTGTCACAGAACCGTGCGGCGACCAGGGGGCCGGTCAGGTTGACGACGGCGTGGCCGAGGTTCTCCCGCCCGGACTCGTCCAGCGGCAGGAAGACGAAGTCGCACTTCCCCTCGAAGCCGTGGTTGTTGAAGAGGCGGACCAGCCGATCTCGGCTGTAGCACCGCGGCAGCCCCTGCATGACCACGGTGGTCGGGAGCGGGTCCAGCGCCTCGCTGCTGGAGGGCAGGCTCGCCTGCCTCTCCAGCGGGGGCCCCTCGTCTCGCCACGGCGGCGCCGACGGGGGCATCCCCACGGGCAGGTCCCCGGCCGGGTGCTGCAGCCCGACGTCCGCCATGGCGGCCGCGGCGGGCGCCGACGCGCGCTGCCTATTTACACAGAGCTTGAGCCAAAACGGCTGCGAAGAGGGGGTGTAGGAGGAGGAGGAGGAGGAGGAGGAGGAGGAGGAGGGGGAGGGCGAGGAGGAGGACGAGGAGGAGGGGAAGGAAGAGGAGGAGGGAAGGAAGGAGGAGGAGGGGAAGGAGGAGGAGGAGGACGACGAGGAGGAGGAAGAAGAGGAAGAGGAGGAGGAGGAGGAGGAGGAGGAGGAGGAGGAGGAGGAGGAGGAGGAGGAGGAGAAGGAGGGCGAGGAGGAGGAGAGGAGGAGACGAGGAGGAGGGGAAGGAAGGAGGAGGAGGAAGGAAGGAGAGAAGGAGGAGGAGGAGGACGAGGAGGAGGAAGAGGAGGAAGAGGAGGAAGAGGAGAAGGACGAGGAGGAGGAGGAGGAGGAGGAGGAGAAGGAGGAGAAGGAGGAGTAGGAAGAAAAGGAAGAAGAGGAAGAGGAAGAGGAAGAGGAAGAGGAAGAGGAAGAGGAAGAGGAACAGGAACAGGAGGAGGAGGAGGAGGAGGAGGAGGAAGAGGAGGAGGCGGAGGAGGAGAAAGAGGAGTCTGCGAGGCCCACGTTTGGCGGCTGACGGGACCGTCGAGCTCGCGCCTGCTTTTTGAGGCGGCCTGCCCGGCGCTGGCTTTTGCGCCGAGCCTCCTCTGTGCTCAGGAGGCGGGCCGGGTGCGCCCCGCGTGGGCTGGCTTCGAGGTCCCGCCGGGCCACTGGGCCCGGGAGCGGCTCCGCGATCCGGACGCGTCGGTGCCCGAGCCGCAGCTGCCGCGCGACGAGGAGAGGGGCCCCCTGCACCACGGATGCTACACCAGTGCCCAGGCCACGCGGCCTGGCGGCGGGATGACATGTTGCCCGAGTCTGCCAGGGCCCCCGGGCGTGCCTCCCCTCCCCCCCCCCCCCGCATGGCGAGAAAGGTTTGCCCAGGGCGTCTTGCCTCATCCTGGAGGGCGAGTCTCGAGAGACCACCGCTCGACTTGTGCTCGGGAGGCACGGGCACTGAGCTGCCAATGTGCGTGTGGGAGGTGGGTCCGTGCTCGCGGACGGCCCGGGGTCGAGGGGCAGCTTCCCCGGACGTCCGGCCGCTCCAACTTGTTCGATGCGTGGGCCCCGGGAGGTCTGGACCACTTCCCTCTAGGGCAAGTTTTTTGTCAGGAGTCGCTTTTGTCTACGGTGCCCGACCCGCCGCTTCCCTTTTTTTGGGAGCGTCGGATCTCTCGGTCCTTTCCTTGAGGACACCAGGCTGGGCGTGGATTTTCCGTGCTGCACGGCTTTCTGCTTGGGGCCATCTGCGGGGCTGTCCAGCCAGAGCTCGGTGTGCGACCCGTGCGACTCGGGACGGGGAGGCGCGCGCTGGGCGTTTTTTTTTCAGTGCGGGCCGGCTGCAGAGCCACTCTGTCGAGCTGCCCCAGCCCGCCGAACTCGAGCGCCCGCCTGTGTCGGGGAGACGTACAGTGAGGGTCTTGACCTAAGGAACCCAAAATAAGGAACGATGCCCCTTCCTTCCATAAGTTAAACTTCAATTTCCCACCGAAAACATAATGAAACCCTGAGGCAAGCTGCGAAACACCTAAGGAACGCGGAGCCCCTCCCCAACGAAAAGGGTTCCTTCTTCAGGGCCCCGACTGTAAAACTCGAGTCAGGGAGACTCGGGCTGGCCCGACGGGGCCAGCATGACAATGACGCAACCCAGCCCGAAGTCCGACGCGAGCTCCCACTGCAAGAATCCCACGAAACCTGGACCGTCAGAATCCAGGACGCGCTCGTCAGAAAGCGTCGGCAAACCCGAGCACCGGCGCACTCGAGTCTTACGTTTCTCCGACTGTAGTCTCGGGCCCATCACCGTGAGGATCTCCTCTGAACTGGTTGGCAGTGCTGCTGAAGATCAGCTTGCCAAACGCTGAGCCTGTTTCGCAAACGCCAGTTCAAAGTACGTGCTAGTATTGGAAAGGCTGCTGGATTTTTGCCACCCAAGCCTGCAAGCCCACGACAAAGAGGTCCACGAGCACGAATGCATGGAGGCCGTGGAGCTGGTGGTCCTTAGTTTTTTCCTGCCCGATTTCCCGCCTCGTCCTGAGGTCCCCGAGGCCCCGCAGCAGGATCCCGTGGACCCCCCTTCTCCCCCTGTCACTCTTCTCTCTGCTGCTGCTGAGGGGATGGTGGGGGCCGAGGGGGACGAAGGGGACTACGGCTTCGGTCTCGAGGCCCGTCGTCTGTGGATGGGTCGACATCACTCGATTCTTGAAGCGGGTTTCCCTGGAACGGGGGGGGCTCGCTCGACGAGCCGCAGGTCCCCTCCCCACGCTGGAGCGCACCTTTTGGGGTGGCCTCGGCTCGGCATCGCTCATACGTCCACTCCCCGTGCACTTTTGGTTTCGTGCGTGTGCTTTTTCCCAGGATGGCCAAGAAAGCTCCTCGATGGTCCGCACCGAGAAACAACGCACACGTCCCAGCGATGCCAAGGTCCAAGGTCGGAAACTAGAGCACATACATTACCAGTAGCGGGCTGTTCTTCAATCCCAGGACTGTTTAAGGGTCGAGGACGACGTCGGGGTGGTGTGGTGTCGTGGTCGCTCTCCCTTCCCTTCCCCTTCCCTTCCCCTTCCTTTCCCCTTCCCTTCCCCTTCCCTTCCCCTTCCCTTCCCCTTCCCTTCCCCTTCCCTTCCCCTTCCCTTCCCTTCCCCTTCCCCTTCCCCCATCCTTCCCTTCCCATCCCTGCCCTCCCTTCCGTTATCTTCCCTTCCCTTCCCTCCCCTTCCCTTCCCTTCCCTTCCCTTCCCTTCCCTTCCCTTCCCTTCCCTTCCCTTCCTCCTCCTCCTCCTCCTCAGATGGCCCCTCCTCCCCTGCCAGCCCGCAGCCTGGGGGGGGGCACACCCGCCTGCTGAGCCAGGTTCGCAGCCGGTCGGGGAAGAACACGGCGTCCACGTCCAGCTTCACCTGTGCCCGGAGGGCGCCTACCAGGAAGCTGGAACCATCATCCTCCTCTTCCCGCTCCTCGTCCTCGCTCTTCTTCACCCCACCTCCTTCTCCTCCTCCTCCTCCTCCTCCTCCTTCTCCACCTGCCTCCTCCTCGTCCTTCTCCTCCTTCTCCTCCTCTGCCTCCTCCTCCTGCCCCCCCCTCCTCCTCCTCCTCCTCCTCCTCCTCCTCCTCCTCCTCCTCCTCCTCCTCCTCCTCCTCCTCTCCTCCTCCTCCTCCTCCTCCTCCTCCTCCTCCTCCTCCTCCTCCTCCTCCTCCTCCCCTCCTCCTCCTCCTCCTCCTCCTCCTCCTCCTCCTCCTCCTCCTCCTCCTCCTCCTCCTCCTCCCTCCATCCTCTTCCTCTTCTCCCTCCACCCCTTCCTGTGAGGTCGCTCGTCGCTGTTCAGTCGTTTGGAGCCTTGAACAAGACTTCGCCAATCCAAATACGCATTCAGGTACGAGCGGTGTCTTTCTGAACATGGGCTGGTCCAGCGAGCTATTCTAGTATGGTTGCCCCGTCCAATATAAACTCCGTGCGATGCAACTCGACAGGGAACAACTACACGTTAGAACGTGGTCTGGGAACACATGAGCGCTCCATGCAACTGCACGGAGGAGTTCGAGGACTGTCAATGTCGAACGAGATTTGTGAGAGGCTTCTGCTGGGAGGCTGGTTTCGCACACCTGGCGTGAATAAGGCGCTGCATAACCTTGCCCCGATTTGGGGGACTCTTACACATGCATGCAGCTACAGTCAAAACGTATATTAAGGACGCGTGGCAAGGACGCAAGACCCTTGAAGGCCGAATTTGGGATTTGTTGGGCGGCAGGCGACCAGTGAAAACGGCACAGGACGGGCCGCCCAGGCAAGGACACAAGGGCACCCTGGATGAAGGCGCACGTCCTTACCAGGCGCGTTGACTGTAGCATGCAATGGACTCTGCAACCGCATGCGCTGGAAGCCAGACGCTGGGGGCGGAGTGATCCAGCATAAGGCTCCTTCCGCACAGCTTGCCCTCTCCCGAATTCTCTCCCTCTCCTTCATGATGGCTTGACTTACGAACCTACCGGATGGATAGCTGGCCAGGTGGCTGGCTGCATGCTTGATTTCATGCCTGGCGAGTTGGCTGGCACAAGTGCGCTCCACGATGTGGCTTCTGAAGCGCGGGCTCAACCGAGCGACGATCAAAAACGGGTCGAACGTGGGATGACGTGGCGACCTTGCGCCGCGGCTCGAGCGGGCCGCCTGCGCGGCGCGCCACATCGGCGACGAGGGCACTTGCGCGCGACCTCACGCGGGCGGCCCACGCGCGAATGTCGGCGCAGGCGGCCCCGTTTTATCTCTTTTGCGCCGCTCAGCTGGCAGAGCGGATGGTGGAGCCAACCGCTGCCGCCCGCCCGCACTCCAGTCGGCCCTCGCCGAGGCCAGTAAGGTTAGGGGCGGAGCTGCCGTGGTCGCCGTCGTCCGCGCCATCGCGGCGGCCGCGTGTGCGGTCCATGGACTCTGCTTGTTGGGCTGACGTCCGTTGGATCCTGGACAGCCTCCATCTGGGCCGCGGCAGCATCTCCTTCATTGTTCGTGCAATACGGTGAGGGCATTGGATAGGGGACCATTGGATACAGAATCCAGGGTATGGAAGCCGGTGGCAGTCCAATCGTGGATTAGCCGTGGACATCACCGCCGCCCTCATTCGATGAGGAGTCCTCCAGGACCTGAAGAGTTTTGGGCACACTTTTTCACGAAGGACCCTGCGGTTCTGTTCGGTGGGTGTTGTCTCAATGCACCTCTCTCTTTTCTTTCCTCTTTTCTTCTTCTCTGAATCCTCAACAATTACAGAATGTGACTACTACTCTCCTCTGTCTCCTGATGACGTACGGAAGATATCCGGCCCCCTCCGCGTACTGCTTTTTACACACAAGATTCCTGGGAAATGGGTTTTCGCTTGGACTTGTGTTCAAAATCTTGCTGCCGCTGAGGCGCTGGACCCATTTCTGCGCCTGTGGTGGTTCCGAGTCGTGCGCCCGCTGCAGCGCGGGCGTTTTCGGTCCTTCCAGATAGGCTTACAAATC